AATATTATATATATATATATATATATATATATATATATATATATATATATATATATATATATATATATATATATATATATATATGTCGTACCTAGTAGCCAGAACTCACTTCTCAGCCTACTATGCAAGGCCCGATTTGCCTAATAAGCCAAGTTTTTTCATGAATTAATTGTTTTTCGACTACCTAACCTACCTAACCTAACCTAACATAACTTTTTTCGGCTACATAACCCAACCTAACCTATAGAGATAGGTTAGGTTAGGTTAGGTAGGGTTGGTTAGGTTCGGTCATATATCTACGTTAATTTTAACTCAATGAACAAAAATTGACCTCATACATTATGAAATGGGTAGCTTTATCATTTCATTAGAAAAAATTTAGAGAAAATATATTAATTCAGGAAAACTTGGCTTGTTAGGCAAATCGGGCCATGCATAGTTGGCTGAGAAGTGAGTTCTGGCTACTAGGTACGACATATATATATATATATATATATATATATATATATATATATATATATATATTATATATTATATAATCGTCTTTTGTGAGTATTGAAACTAATATCAATTAAGATTTAAAATGTATAATTATTATTATTGCATTTAATAGGTATTTTTTTATTTTATGTATAAAATGTTTATAAGAAAATGTTTAACAATAAAAACACAAGTGTAAGTTTTGTTCATGTTTTGAGACACTCGATCAATCAAGATATATCATGTGGCTTTTGAAGGATCACCTCAGCTGAAGTTTTGGAGGACCACCTCAGCTGAAGTTTTGGAGGACCACCTCAGCTGAAGTTTTGGAGGACCACCTCAGCTGAAGTTTTGGAGGACCACCTCAGCTGAAGTTTTGGAGGACCACCTCAGCTGAAGTTTTGGAGGACCACCTCAGCTGAAGTTTTGGAGGACCACCTCAGCTGAAGTTTTGAAGGACCACCTCAGCTGAAGTTTTGGAAGACCACCTCAGCTGAAGTTTTGGAGGACCACCTCAGCTGAAGTTTTGGAGGACCACCTCAGCTGAAGTTTTGAAGGAACACTTCAGCTGAAGTTTTGAAGGAACACCTCAGCTGAAGTTTTGGAGGACCACCTCAGCTGAAGTTTTGGAGGACCACCTCAGCTGAAATTTTGAACCACCACCTCAGCTGATGGTTCGAGAGACCTTTCGAAATATTTACTTTCAGTTGAGGGTGCAGATAAATGTATATTTCATATATGTTTTGTGTAATAGTTCTAATAAGCGGTTTATTTTAAGGTGATTTGCCGGGCGGTGAAAATACACAATGGGGGGAGGAGTGTTTGGAAGCATTATACATCCATAATACGCTTAGTTTCTTTGTTTAATTATGGTGTTTTAAAAGTTGTTTATTGTTGGTTAAAATCCGCGTATTACACCGTTTTGTGATGAAGTAATCCATACAGTAACCACCCTCGTTTGGATATACAAGTACATTGCTGTATTATTATACAGGTATACAAGTACTGGACTGGGAAGTATAGTATGTATACTGAGGGTAAAGCCTTGAGGTCTTCTCAACTAGTAGGTCGCGTTTTGCACGTTGTAATAACCCTGGAAACACAAACCGTAACTTTCTCTATTTTCCGCTTGTTACAACTTGTAATAAAGTTGTTACATCTTGGCTTAACGTGTTTATGACGTATTAGAATGTTGTTACAACTTGCTATATTGGTTGTTATAACTGGTTAGGTGGTGTTAAAACTTGTTCGAACGTTGTACCAACGTCGTAGTTTCGGTGTGTGTTTGGCGGGAACCGACACTGCAAATGCAACCTGCTATGGGAAGTGACGGATTGTAACCGATTAAGACTCCTCTTGGCTGGCTTAATCTACAATCAATAAATCGGCCAGATGACACTGAATGAATCTCTGTTTTTACAGCAAATCACAAGATAATAATGACTTTTCTCCTGAAGTCGGTGGAAAAATTCAACTTCCAGATGAGGGGAAAATGATGAATATATATATGATTTTCACGTCACATTTATGGGTGGATTACATCAACCCATGAAGATTTTTTTAGTAGTTTTATTTTAGTTTAACTACTCTACTACAGCAGTAGATTGACGGCTTAGAGGCGAGGCCAAAGAGCCAAAGCTCAACACTCGCAAGATTCTGAAGATACAAATATACAATACACATGCACACACACTATCAATCTCTCTCTCTCTCTCTCTCTGGGGTATTTAGCAAACAGAATGCATTAGGCAGTGATGTGGTGGAGGCTGACTCCATACACAGTTTAAACAGTAGATATGACAGAGCCCAATAGGCTCAGGAACCTGTACACCAGTTGATTGACGGTTGAGAGGCGGGACCAAAGAGCCAGAGCGCTACCCCCGCAAGCACAACTAGGTGAGTACAAGACACTCAACTGCTATAATCTACAGAAGTACTCATGAAGTCATATCGTTAAGGCACTTGTCTAAATTGGAGTAGAGTGCATTCTCGCTTATTCATGCCTCTATAGGATCGTGAGTCCGTTACTAAGCTGTGTATTCGCCTGGTTTTAATCACCTAGTTGTGCTTGTGGGGGTTGAGCTTCGGCTCTTTGGTTCCGCCTCTCGACTGTCATTCAATCAACTGATCTATTTTTTCCTCCACACACACACACACACACACACACACACACACACACACACACACACACACACACACACACACACACACACACACACACACACACAGGAAGCAGCCCATAACAGCTGACTAACTCCCAGGTACCTATTTACTGCTAGGTAACAGGGGGCATTAGGGTGAAAGAAACTGCTCATTTGTTTCTACCTCTGCCGGGGATCGAACCCGGGCCCTGTGGACTACGACCCCCGAGCGCTATCCACTCAGCCGCGAACCCATGTGTTGTTGTTGTTGTTTAAGATTCAGCTACTGGGAGCAAAAAGTTGCAAAGTAGCACGGGCTATGGTGATCCCACTGTGTGTGTGTGTGTGTGTGTGTGTGTGTGTGTGTGTGTGTGTGTGTGTGTGTTTTTATAGCGATACCCAAGTAATGTTAGGAGCGGGTGCAGCCTTAACTTGGAGCAGAGTCGTGTTCCATCACAACTTTGTGGACATGATGAGTGGGATCAGCCAATCAGACGAGTAACTTTGCTGATGGAGCTGCCAAGTGCGGCCGAGCAGCCGAGCAGGGAACATATTTGCTGCTCTTATCTGTATATTGGTGCAGTGGGTGGTGGGTTTAGGTGGGTGGTGGTGGGTTTAGGTGGTTGGTGGTGGGTTTAGGTGGGTGGTGGTGGGTTTAGGTGGTTGGTGGTGGGTTTAGTTGGGTTTAGGAGGTTGGTGGTGGGTTTAGGTGGCTGGTGGTGGGTTTAGTTGGGTTTAGGAGGTTGGTGGTGGGTTTAGGTGGTTGGTGGTGGGTTTAGTTGGGTTTAGGAGGTTGGTGGTGGGTTTAGGTGGTTGGTGGTGGGTTTAGGTGGTTGGTGGTGGGTTTAGTTGGTTGGTGGTGGGTTTAGTTGGGTTTAGGAGGTTGGTGGTGGGTTTAGGTGGCTGGTGGTGGGTTTAGTTGGGTTTAGGAGGTTGGTGGTGGGTTTAGGTGGCTGGTGGTGGGTTTAGGTGGATGGTGGTAGGTTTAAGTGGTTGGTGGTGGGTTTAGGTGGCTGGTGGTGGGCTTAGGTGGGTGGTGGTGGGTTTAGGTGGCTGTTGGTGGGTTTAGGTGGGTTGTGGTGGGTTTATAGGTTGCTGGTGGTGGGTTTAGGTAGTTGACGGTGGGCCTAGATTATTAGCGGTGGGCCTGGATGGTGGGCTTATATAACGATTAGTTGTGCAAGATGACTCTAATGATTGGATAGTGGGATTGGATAGTGGGATTGGATAGTGGGAGTGGATAGTGCGGGTAGTTGAGGACATTATAACTGGTCTGGAAACCCCACAACATAACTAGCTAATTTGCATACCAGTGTAGGGCTTGTAATCATTGTTCCTTATTGCTGAAAATGGTCAGTAGGATTAGATTAGCCAATCGCATCTTGACCATATATGTTTATAGTCCAGTTAGTGATTCCTCAAGTGTAATTAGACATACAAATTGCCCAGTAATTTAGTGAATTAAAAGGTAATTTAGTTAAAGGAGAAGACAGACTTATTTAGTTGGCCCTCAATGTTATACTGCATGTAGCAATTGCATTATTTAATTTAAATAATATATGCAAATTAGGTTAGAGCCGTATGTTCTAACGTATTAAGAATTTAGGCTATTGATTTATCCTGCAACGGTGAATTGCAATAGTTATATGCATATATAATTACCATATTTTAACAAATAATAAATTAACGTAGACCAAATGTGTAGACATCAGCTGTTGCAATGCTGCCAAGTTTACAGCCGTGGCTGTAATGACGGCTGTTTCATATGATTGGCAGCTGAAATTCACAGTGTAGGGACACTATTTCAAGGGTAGGAATATATGTGACACTTCTAAGATGTTAGATGATTGATCAGCTAATAATATGGGCGGGTTTTGGATCTTGGTGGTTCAGTAGAAGTAGAGCCGGCAACGCCGACCGCAGAGCCGGCAGCGCCGCCCTCAGAGCCGGCAGCGCCGCCCTCAGAGCCGGCAACGCCGACCGCAGAGCCAGCAGCGCCGACCGCAGAGCCGGCAGCGCCGACCGCAGAGCCGGCAGCGCCGACCGCAGAGCCGGCAACGCCGCCCTCAGAGCCGGCATCGCCGCCCTCAGAGCCGGCAACGCCGACCGCAGAGCCGGCAGCGCCGACCGCACAGCCGGCAGCGCCGCCCTCAGAGCCGGCAACGCCGCCCTCAGAGCCGGCAACGCCGCCCTCAGAGCCGGCAACGCCGCCCTCAGAGCCGGCAACGCCGCCCTCAGAGCCGGCAACGCCGCCCTCAGAGCCGGCAACGCCGCCCTCAGAGCCGGCAACGCCAACTCTGGTACTGTTTTCTGCTCTTTAGGTACTCCTTTATTCAGTTCAATATTTCTCCAGTTTCCCCAACCTGAATCTCCATCTTATACAAAGCATAAAATGTACAATATTTTGATAATGGAGATTTGGGTAACGAGAACTCTGTCAATAATGTGTCAGCCATGATTTTTTCCCTTTCTAAAATCATACAGCCGATCAGTTACAAAGTTTATATTATCGAGGTGTTCCATTGTTTTCATTCTGATTGCCTTGCAAAGAGCCGAAGACTTCAATCATGTTTGTGTCACAGATTTAGAATTTAGTGCAGTCTATCTGTCCCCCTTTTGGAATATTGGTGGTGGTGGTGGATGGTTAGTTCAGATAGTGGTATATGGTCCCATGGGGTAGCGTGTGCTGGGATATGCTGTCATGGGATAGCGTGTGCTGGGATATGCTCCCATGGGATAGCGTGTGCTGGGATATGCTCCCATGGGATAGCGTGTGCTGGGATATGCTCCCATGGGATAGCGTGTGCTGGGATATGCTCCCATGGGATAGCGTGTGCTGGGATATGCTCCCATGGGATAGCGTGTGCTGGGATATGCTCCCATGGGATAGCGTGTGCTGGGATATGCTCCCATGGGATAGCGTGTGCTGGGATATGCTCCCATGGGATAGCGTGTGCTGGGATATGCTCCCATGGGATAGCGTGTGCTGGGATATGCTCCTATGGGATAGCGTGTGCTGGGATATGCTCCTATGGGATAGCGTGTGCTGGGATATGCTCTCATGGGATAGCGTGTGCTGGGATATGCTCTCATGGGATAGGGTGTGTTGTGATGGGATATATGTGTGAAATTCTATGCTGTTGTGTGTGTTGTGATATGCTATGGCGGTATGCTTTCGTGGGATATATTTGTGATATGCTGCGCTAAGCGGTGAAGATATGCTCTGTGGCGTGCTGTGCTCTGGTGGTACGCTCTGTGATGTGTTGTGGTGTGCTATGGAAGATGGTGTGCTCTGGCATATGCTGTGGGAGGTCCAGGATGTGCTGTGACGCAGCAGTGTCACGTTCCGAGGAGGAATGTGACGCATTGTGACGTACAGTGAAAGCTGTGCTGTGTTCTTCCTACTTTCCTGTGAATTAGTTGGTTGGTTGGGTGAGATTTAGGCCTAGAAAAAGTGAGATCTTCCGGCCCTGTACAACTTAAAACGGAAAAAGTGCCGATCTTCGCAAGTGATGAACAATATTAAATGAAAAAATCCACAAGGGCCGTGACGAGGATTCGAACCTGCGTCTGGGAGCATCCCAAACGCTGCCTTAATCGACTGAGTTACATGATACATCACATTATTGCAATTTCTGTGTGTAATGCCCAATATTCTTCTTCTGAAACGTAATTATGTCATCTAAATCACGTTATTATTACATTACAAGAATGAAATTACGAGAACGCGTCAAGTCAGTGAGATTGATTCATTATACAGGATCTTGAAGAGTTATGAGGTCAAATTAGTACCTCTGATTAGAGGCCAGACTGGAGGAACTTTTTTTGCAACTGCCTGAATTATCGGGAATCGAACGCCGGCCTGCAACAAGCAGGGGCGTCTGTATCGACCTGTCCAAGTGGATGACTGCACTCCTGTTATCGAGGAACTATTTGAATAAAAAACACCCCCGCGCCTAGTTGAGAAATAAGCTCTTAAAATATCACTGATATCTTCTGCATGACAAAGAAGATAACGATATGAAGGGACAAAAAAAAAAGAGGAAAATGGAGGGAAGGATAGGTTAGGAAAGGAGGAATAATAGGAACAAAAATAATCAGTCCTTGTGGTGTAGTGGTAAGACACTCGCCTGGCGATTCGCAAGCGCTTTGTCCTGGGTTCGAATCCTGGCCGGGGCGTCAAATCCTTAACTGTAGCCTCTGTTCACCCAACAGTAAAATGGGTATCTGGTTGTTAAACGATTAGGCAGGTTGTGTTCCAGGGAACACAGGATTAAGGACTTGCCCGAAACGCTACGCTTGCTAGTGGCTGTACAAGAATGTAACAACTCTTGTATTATATATATATATATATATATATATATATATATATATATATATATATATATATATATATATATATATAATAAAAAACAAATAAAAGCCCACGAGTCAAAATTCACAACAGCACAAGACGTCTTGGATCAATACACTTTTATCTGTTTTGTGAACAACCCGCCAAACACACACCGAAACTACAACGTTGGTACAACGTTCGAACAAGTTTTAACAACTCCTAACCAGTTATAACAACCAATATAGCAAGTTGTAACAACGTTCTAATACGTCATAAATACGTTAAGCCAAGATGTAACAACTTTATTACAAGTTGTAACAAGCGGAAAATAGAGACAGTTTCGGGTTGTGTTTCCAGGGAAGCTTGAATAGTTCCCATTCAAGCTTGTTCGCATTTGTGTTGAGATGTTTGGGGCTGACAGTCCCCAAGTCACATAAAAGTCCACTACGGGCTCACCATAGCCCGTGCTACTTGCCCCGCTCCTGTGCCAGGTAAGTCCACTACGGGCTCACCATAGCCCGTGCTACTTGCCCCGCTCCTGTGCCAGGTAAGTCCACTACGGGCTCACCATAGCCCGTGCTACTTGCCCCGCTCCTGTGCCAGGTAAGTCCACTACGGGCTCACCATAGCCCGTGCTACTTGCCCCGCTCCTGTGCCAGGTAAGTCCACTACGGGCTCACCATAGCCCGTGCTACTTGCCCCGCTCCTGTGCCAGGTAAGTCCACTACGGGCTCACCATAGCCCGTGCTACTTGCCCCGCTCCTGTGCCAGGTAAGTCCACTACGGGCTCACCATAGCCCGTGCTACTTGCCCCGCTCCTGTGCCAGGTAAGTCCACTACGGGCTCACCATAGCCCGTGCTACTTGCCCCGCTCCTGTGCCAGGTAAGTCCACTACGGGCTCACCATAGCCCGTGCTACTTGGAACAAAAAGTTCCAAGTAGCGAATCTTTAACAACAACAGTCCCCACAACCCGTTCTCGCAAATTCGTAAAGTCAATATTGACTTATTAAATATGTGCATAGGTGACATACTTAACATAATAGATACTCTTTAAAAGATTCATAGCAAACACCGACCTTACCTAACCTTGTTAGTATCTTAAGATAAGCATCTTATTGCTTCGTAATTACAATTATTACCTAACCTATAATAGGTATAGGTTAAGTAATAATTGTAATTACGAAGCAATAAGATGCTTATCTTAAGATACTAACAAGGTTAGGTAAGGTCGGTGTTTTCTATGAATCTTTTAAAGGGTATCTATTATGTTTAGTATATCACCTATGCACGTAGTAAATAAGTCAATATTGACTTTACGAATTTGCGAGAACGCGTTGGTCCCCAAGTGGGCATGTGAAGGCATAGACGTTGGTTTCTTTCAAGACGTTCTGTTTGGTGACCCGTTCTCGCACTTGCTTATAGTCAATATTGGCTTATTTAATAAGTGCATATGTGACATACTAATTGATTGTGAATATTTTAGTTTACCTTGAAAAGCTTCATAGAAAACACCGACCTCACCTAACCTTCTTAGTATGTTAAGATAAGCATCTTATTGCTTCTTATTTACAATTATTACTTAACCTATTCATGAGTAGGTTGGCCGCTTTTATGTTTTGTAGTAAATTGTTATTAGTATCTTCTGGTTTTTGTCTGTAGGGATAACGTTCCTATTATTAATATCTTTCAGAACACTTTCCTCAGTTTTATGAGCTGTCGAAAAGAAGTTCCCGTAAAACAGTCTAATAGAGGGTACAAGGAACAGGCACTTCCTTGTAACCTCCTTCCTGTAAACTTGTTGTACAGGAACTTCTTTTCAAGGAGGAGGAAAATTAAGGGGCAGGAGGAGAAGAAGGAAGGGGTAGCAGGAGAAGGAAGGGGTAGCAGGAGAAGGAAGGGGTAGCAGGAGAAGGAAGGGGGAGCAGGAGAAGGAAGGGGTAGCAGGAGAAGGAAGGGGTAGCAGGAGAAGGAAGGGGTAGCAGGAGAAGGAAGGGGTAGCAGGAGAAGGAAGGGGGAGGAGAAGAAGGAAGGGAAAGGAGAAGAAGGAAGGGGGAGGAGAAGAAGGAAGGGAAAGGAGAAGAAGGAAGGGAAAGGAGAAGGAGAGGCCACAGGGCTTCCTGACGCAGGCTGGGAAGGGAAAATATCTGCAGGTAATATCACGCTTGGTTTCCCAGGACGATTGTGGCAATGGTAACATTATACAGTTGGTGTGGGGGGCGCTGTGCCCCTGACAGGGGGGGGAGGGTAGGGGGAAGAGGGAGGGAAGGGGGGAGGGGGAGGGAGATATAGGGAGGGAGGCGATAGGGAGGGACAGAGACAGGGAGGGAAAGGGAAGAAATAAGGGGGGGGGGGAGAAAAATGATTGACAGGGGGGTGTAGGGGGGTGTGTAGGGGTGTGTAGGGGGTGTGTAGGGGGTGTGTAGGGGTGTAGGGGGTGTGTAGGGGGTGTGTAGGGGTGTGGGGGGGGGGTGTGGGGGTGGTGTGGGGGTGTGTGGTGGGTGTAGGGGTGTGTGGGGGTGTAGGGGTGTGGGGGGGGGGGTGTAGGGGTGTGTGGGGTGTGGGGGGGTGTAGGGGTGTGTGGGGTGTGTGTGGGGGTGTGTGTAGGGGTGTGTAGGGGTGTGTAGGGGTGTGTAGGGGGTGTGTAGGGGGTGTGTAGGGGGTGTGTAGGGATGTGTGGGGATGTAGGGGTGTGGGGGGGATGCTCCGTGGTCTAGCGGTGAACAACTTCGATCCATAATCATAGGTCCCAGGTTCGTAATTGGGCCAGGACTAAAAACAAATTTGCATCGTTTCCTTACCTTATGCCTCTGTTCACCCAGCAGTAAATAGGTACCTAGGTGTTGTGGGGTACATAGTGGGCAAAGTTAATAGCCTATTCGCCCCTATTCTCCCAGCATTTATTAGGGGCCTGGTAGTAAACCTATCGGCGGATCGTGTTCTAGGGAAACACTAGCAAGGTAAG